TAACATAAAGATAGCATAAAGGGGATGGTCTGTAGTCCAGAAGGGGAGAACTTAGGCCGGCCATTAAACAATACATGGGAATTAATTTAGTGGCTGTTGCCCACCTTTCAGCTGGACATTTTGTCATGAGTCACCCCCTAGAGTTTGACCTATTTATCTCTATTTGTTCCTCTTTCTCCATTTTCTCTTGTCAGCTTTCCTCCCCAGGATAATTAGTCTCTAACTCCTTTTCTAGGACATCATGCCTCGTATAGATAATGACATCAAGCTGGACTTCAAAGACGTGTTGCTAAGGCCAAAGAGGAGTACACTAAAATCTCGAAGTGAGGTAAATATTTTCTTTTGATGTATTTGAATACACTGTTCATAGTAAAATAAGTAGGGGGGTGGGCAGCTACATAGCAGACAGGGTTCATTATTGAGAAATGTAAAAGTTATGCATTTGGGTGCTAAAAATAAGCACGCTATCTACTTCCCAGATAGCAAGCAATTGAGCTGCAAATTTGAAAATGACTTGCTATACTATTGCAGACTTGCCAAGCTTCACAATTGTGTTGCACAATTACAGCAAGCCTGCATTGCAAGTCTCCAGACCAGCGAGCTTGCAGAACTCTTGCTAAGACCTGCAGGACTCTTGCTGTAGACTTGCCAAGCAAATTTGCTACAAATTCAAAAAGTGTCAACTAGAACTTGTGCTGCGAGTGTTCTGCAAGTCTACAACTTGCCAGGAATGTGTGCAGCAAGTTAACAAGAATTACAATTTAACCCTGCCACAAGTTTGTGGCAAGTTATCCTTGCTATCTGGGTTATCAGGGGAAGCGCCTCTAGGATAATCAGTGATGGAAAAAGAATTGGGGGGTCCTTGTAGACTTACTCACAGACTTAGCAGGAGCATGCAATGCCAGGCTGCAACAAATAAGGCCAGCAGATTACTATCATGCATAAAAAAGCACAGCAGTGGGCATAGCAAGCTTTTGCAAGCAGTTTTGTTGAAGCCTTCAAAGAAAATGTCAGTTCCAGATTGGGGATGTTAAACATGGGTTTTTAAATACATATTTTATAAAAGAAGGTACAAATATTGTTGACAAATTTCAATATCACATAAAATAGGTGGTGTTTGTTGATGGACCTCTCAGGCATCCAGTACTTTCACACACGGGCAGGGAGAAATCCTCAGCCTTATGTATATTCCAATACACTGGGCTAACGCGCTCTCTTTCCTTGTGACTGAATAGAGTGTCAAGAGAGCTAAGAGAAGGTAAGTATAAGCTGCTGGTAGGACTGCCATGAAATTGAAGCATTGCAAAGTAGCCTGTCAGTGAAATGTACCCGTGTAAGCTCCAAGTTACTCTGCTTTGAGCTTACACAGAGTTAGGGACTTTCTTCCCTCTACCACATGACAAAACAGGAGCCTGACAATTAGCAAAGCACAGGTTCACTTCAATTCACACTTACGAAGAGGTGCCATTTGTTATTGTCAAAATTTTTTATGTTTATGAAATTATATTTTACCAAAGATTTCAGCTAACTTCCACATTTTTACCTGCTTCTCTTCTAAAGACACACTGTAATAAACTCACTTTTCTCCATGCTACTGTCATTTAAATATGAACTAAATTGGAGAGTCAACAGGGAGGATGTTAACTTTGTACAGTAGTTCACTAAATCTGCTTTTGTTGTTCAACTTCCAGGTATTTAGGAATAATACTGCATGATGAACGTTTGTGCTATAAATCTTTAGGGGGGCAGCATGACTGATTGGAGTTTAATTGGACGCTTAAAAAGTAGCTCTCTCCCTGTAAGTACAAAGCCAGAGTACTCCCTGGGTTTCAAGACCTACTGGCCTTGAAACCCAGGATTGTTCTAATCTAGACCACTGTTTAAGGAACCCTGCTACCCACTTACAGTATTATTCTGGACTGCCGGCCCTGGGGACTTGCTTCAGATGGACTCCTGCTAGACAACTAAGGTGATTTCTCCCTCCCAGGTAACCTTTGATCATTTAAAAACAAATACAGTATTTGTGCTGTTATTATCTTTCAGATCATTCAGATTATCACAAGTGATAGAGAAGTCACCTGCACTCCAGATATGTGAGAATAAATCTGAGCAGATTATTTCACATATCTGGAGTGCTGTTGATTTCTCTTGATCTTGTGATCTCTGCATGGTGCCATCCACTATCACTATGCGCACCACTGTATCACTCTGGTCGTAAAGGCTGTAAGGAGTACAGTTTAGAACTACAATTTCTTTCAGATTATCAGGGACATGCCTGATGCAGGATGAAAAATTCCTTTGCAGAATCATGCGCTAATGCTAAAGGAAACTTTGCAAATCCCTAGAATCATGAGGATAATGTTATTTCCACTGCTGAATTGTTAGTATAGATAATGCTGCAGATGCCCTAGGTTCAATTCTAGTTTGTTTTTTGTTTTTGTAATTCTAAACCTATTTAGCATAAACTGGCAAACATGTCATTGTGGAATATCTTTGTGTTCTCCCTCGTTTATATTAGTATTTTTGTCTTGCAGGTGGAGCTCACCCGTTCATTTGTATTCAGGAACTCAGGCCAAAGTTACCAAGGGATTCCTATAATTGCTGCCAATATGGACACTGTTGGGACCTTTGAGATGGCAAGAGTCTTGTGCAAAGTGAGAGCCAGGCTTGTATGATGAAACTGTATACTGTCATTGATTTATTAGTCGTTAATTAAATTAAAGATGCAACTAAGTAATTTTAAAGAAAGAGCGTTATCATAATTATGCAAAAAAAAAAAAAGGCAGCAACACTTCATGGCTAATCTTCAGAAGGCACTTTGCAAGGACACAGTGTTTTCTTAATATCCGCACAAAGGGATGTTACTCTCTCCCAACAAATGGAAAAATGTAATTGTCCTAAATGTTGGTTCAGTTAACCAAAAGCTCATGTGAAGCATCTCTATTTATTATCCAGTCAAGCTGCATATACACTAATAAATATGCTCTTTCGGTGTATGTTTCCATATTAGGTAGTTCAGTAAGGGTTGACACACTGGAGAAATTGACTGCTCTTCCACACAAGCAGCAGCCAGGGCCCTCAGAGGTCCAGATCCCCCTCCCCTCTTGCACATTGCTTCAGTCATCAATGATGCTCAGAGAGCAGGTTTGCACAACTGCAGACCCACACAATGCTCTAGTCAACAGCACTGCTTAGGGAGGAGAGTTGGACTGTTGTAGACCTGGGCCACTGCTTATTTGTGAGAGCAGCCTTTTAATTGTTCAGTGTTGTATTAGAGTATTTTGACCTTTGCTTCTGTACTTCATATGGATTTGCCACAGAAGCTCACAAGCACCCAATATGATAGCACATTGGAGATGACAGGTTCTCTTTAAGGTGACATTAGGGGTCTCGTAGACCCCTAGTGTCACTTTTCCACTTCAATATCTTTAGCTGGGGAATGACAGCTGCCTGCCGAGGCTGCTAAATGTAAACCCTGCAGACAGTGGCTGGGAGCAATAGCCAACCTGCTATTGGCTATTTCAAATTGCAATAGCCAATAGTAGGCTGGCTATTGCACCCGCCCACTGCCTGCAGTCAATCAGCAGAGGAGGGAACTGAAGGAGAAAGTTCTCCTTCAGGTCTTCCTCTGCTGATGTTCTGTAACGGTGTTCTGTTTTTTAATTCCACCATCTCTAGGTGGCTGAGACAGGCCATCATTCAAGCTTATGGTCTTGAAATGGTAGTTCACCCTAGGAATAAAACATTCACCAAATACCATTTCCATGTGCAGTGGTGTGCAGAAAATCACAGCTTAACAGACATGGTGTGAACATTCTCTAATGGCTATATCATCATTTGTAAGTGGAGGTACATGAATAACAAAAAATAAACTCTCAACAGGAACAAACCTTTCAGTTAAAGGACACTATTACTATTAGGGATGCTCAGATACCAGTGCCAACACTTGGCATTTTCATGAGAACTACCAGGGTTGCAGCGGTTGCAGCTGGGACCTGGCTCTGGCGCTCCACCACTCTCCTGAAATCATTAGTCTGTATTGTTTTAGAAAAACTGTCACATGACAATAAACAAAAATGTATCAGTAATTGTATCTGTGAGTACTTGGACAGGTATCAGTACTTGTACTTGAAACAATGGTATCGGTACATCCCTTTATACAGTATATGTTTATAAAAACTAAATCATACATTAAAACAGAGATGTACAAATCCCAGGAGCTCCGTGTGCTTCTTACAAATGACAGCTGCCTGCTAACTTTTACATTTTTGTCTAGTCTTGTAACTGGAAAAGTATCTGTACTTGTACCAAGTACGGTACTTGGTATCTGAACATCCCTAATTACTATGGAAATATGTTGGGTGCCATTGCAGTTCCAAAGGTTTCAAAACTGACCCAGTAAATCAACATTCCTGACTTTACTCTGACTTGCTGCCTGCCGATTCCTTTAATCTTCTGCATATTTCCCTTCAGTTTTCTCTGTTCACGGCGGTACATAAGCATTATTCAGTTGAGGAGTGGAAGCAGTTTGCTTGCAACTATCCGGAATGTCTAGAGGTGAGTGACAAATTCTTCTAGTCTTCAAATACTTGGTTCTGAAGTCAACCACTGACCTTCTATCCAGTCTGCAGCACCTTTTACTCTTATGTACAGCTTTAGTTCTGACCATATTACTCTGAATGTTCTGCAGAATGTGGCTGTGAGCTCTGGCACTGGGCAGTCAGATTTCCAGCAACTGGAGAAAGTTTTATCCGCGGTCCCTCAAGTTCGTTATATCTGTCTGGATGTGGCTAATGGCTATTCGGAACAGTTTGTGCAACACGTGAAGGATGTAAGAGCCAGGTTCCCTAAGCACACGATCATGGTGAGAAAAACGTGCCTATCTCTCGTTTTCCAAATCTATTTTTGCCGTGACCTGATCCTACTCACATGGTGTTTTCTGTCTTCAGGCTGGAAATGTGGTCACTGGGGAGATGGTGGAGGAATTGATCCTTTCAGGCGCAGATATTATCAAAGTTGGAATAGGGCCAGGTACAAACTCCTTTAACTGTACCATGTTCAAGCAGGGTAAAGGTTATCTTAAGAGCCATCGCTTTTGCAGGAGCCCACAGCATCAAATCAGAATCGGTCACCTAACCAATTGACCTCTGTAAACTGAAATCTGATTGCTTTCTACGGATCCCTGCACTTTGTACATGATTCTTTTTTAGTACCCTCTAAAATGATTGCACTAATTCACTCAAGTGGACTGAACTGCACTAATGAATTTTAGTTGCATCATTTTAATTGTATTTGCTGATCTTTTTTTGGACACATTAGTTTAATTGTGCATTTCTGAAATCATAAGTACGTAAATGAATGCAGTTTAGACACACCTCATAACATTTATGTTGGCCTTATGTGTTTACATGTTTTTCTAGTCATAGAGCAATGTAATATGCACACATGTTGGCTACTGTGCTTACATTCTTACAATTTAAAAATCATCTGTTTAAGTTCTTTTTCATGCTGTACTCTATAACAGATTACATACAGGGAGGCTATAACATCAAGTTACATATGCCTTAAAGGATCTTAATGATTGTCTTAGGCACTGGGATAGTTCACATTTGATCTTGTTATTATGCTGCATCACTTGGCTGTTATATGATTCCCTCTCACATGTTATTCTCTGTCACCTTTCATCCTTCCATTTTACTTTTTTTCATTTAGGTTCTGTTTGCACCACCAGAAAAATGACAGGAGTTGGGTACCCACAGCTAAGTGCAGTCATTGAATGTGCAGATGCCGCACATGGACTGAATGGTCATATTATATCTGTATGTATAAAGAAATGTATTAATACATATTTCATCACAATTATTCATTTTAACAAAACCATACAATCGGGAGTAACCATTAATCCCTTAGTGACACAGCTTATTTTTTTCGTTCCTGGGGATCGAAGAAATTTTGCAATTTTTGCTATGTGTTTGTTTAACCATAATTTCCATCTTCTTCGTGCATTGCGCCTACACATATTAGAAAGTTCAGCTGAAATTGATTGATTAGCGCACTCCCAGGGTGGTGTGGTCAATGGTGGCCAGTGTGCTGCTCCTATTTCCTCAGAGATATTTTGTATCAGTTTGTAACACACAGCCGACTCGCAGCTTTGCAACACAGTGAACTATTGCCACCTCTGTGATTGTCACGGCTCTGTGATTACAGCAATCAGCTATCGCTGTGATCATAGTGCGGTGACCACCTAATCTGCTGTTGAGGGTCTGCCTCGGACCCCGAGGGACGCAGCATCAGTAGTAACGCAATGAACGCTGGTCCCTTCACGTGATTATCCCATCACTGGTCGTTAATGAACTAAATGATCGTGACAGGATCATCCTGTCATCATTTGGGAAGGGGTTAGAATGCATATGAGGGCTTAGGTATATGTCAGAGCAAAATACATAAAAAAAAAACATATTCAGTACATCTCTGTTATACATGCATATTTCCGCTTTTTTTTATCCCTTTAAAAATGCTACAAGTAACGAAAAATAACTATTCATTTGACTAAAATTGAGTGAGCTCATAACTACCCGTTTGAGCTGATAACACAATTCATCTGCTGCACAAAAAAAATGTTTTTTTTCTTATCCCCATATACACATTTATTTATTTTCAATATTCACAATTTTTATTAAACAAACACAAAAGGGAAAAAAACATACAAATCCATATATAAAATACAGACATTACATATCCCCATGTACATAGCATCAGTCATCAATACTTTAATAGACTCCTTCTATTCTCTTCTCTCCCCCCCTCCCCACCCTTCTTTTTTTGACCTACATAAATATACAATCTATTTTACAGCATCGGTGTCAAGCGATGTCTAACCTAATCCTAAACTCTTCTTCAACCTATTTAATGCCTATGTACTGGATATTTTATTTTAAAATCCCTTCTCCATAAATTACTCACAATCCAGTCATACAAAAAAAACCCCCAAGTACACATTTTTTTAATAATTCTTTTTAATGCAGGTATCACATAATAATTGCATGTATACCATGTTTTTCAGGATGGTGGTTGCACTTGTCCAGGAGATGTAGCTAAAGCTTTTGGTGAGTTTTTTATTAAAGCGGATGCATTGTGCAAAACTTAACTATTGTTCCAATATAAGTACTGTTTGAATTAACGTTTAAGAGCAGTATTACATTGCTTGCACACACACACACATATCGTGAGACATATCAGCTGAAAGTTCCCTTTTGTTTCTCCATGTATAATATGTTATGGCATATAGTATTTTAATACAGGCTTGTGGCAGGCATAGTCTTGAAATGACAATAAGAACATTCTGTGCAATTATATGAGCAGATCATGACTTTTCTATTAAAATAATACCAAATTTAAGTGAATAAATAAAGTCATTATAGAATGAACAGAGTAGCAACATATTTTCAGTTGTGCATTGTGAAGTTTCAGACATTGATGAGTAGTAGATTGATCTATTTGATGTGATTCTAATAATTCCAAGGACCTATTGGTATAGGTTTGCTTTGTGAGAACCAGTATCCTGAAGAGTGTGAGCCAGAGGCGTAACTAGCAACCTCAGGGTCCTGGTGCAAGAAACTATTAAGGCCCCCCCCTGCGTTCCGGCTCCATTCAGTGCCGGAACACACTGGATCGCATCCCAGCCGGCTCACTGTGTTTTGGGGTGGGAGGGGGCGTGGTGGTGCACCGCAGGCACGCCCCCCGGCCGCAGTGCGATTGCCCACACCGGAACGGTGGCAAATCAAATCCAGCGTTCTGGTCCTGCTTTAAAAGAAAAAGAACAGTTGCTTTCTTTCACATGAGATAAGAAATATTTTGATGTTGTTTAAAACAGGACATTATTTATCATGGGCAATGAATGTACTGATTTATTGTGTTTCTTTGTTACAGGAGCTGGGGCTGATTTTGTCATGCTAGGGGGGATGCTGTCTGGTCATACAGAGTGTGGAGGAGAAATAATTGAGAAAGGTGGAAAGAAATATAAGCTTTTCTATGGCATGAGCTCAGAAATAGCAATGAAGAAACATGCAGGTGGAGTTGCAGACTACAGGTAACTCTGACCTTCTTTCCTGTTAGCTCATCATTGAGAAACCACTTAAGTAAAAGGACTTTGTCACCAAAAAAATAAGAAAAAGCACCCTGCAAAAAAAGATCATTCATACTTACTTGTCTGACAGATAGGAGTTCATATCTTTGATCTGTTAAACAGCTACTGCCACCAGAGAGCATCTGAAACACTTCTGGGAGTGTCAGATGCCTGGTCTCCTACTGTTCTCCATAGTGTCATCCAGTGTCCCCTATGTCACTACAGGACACAGTAGTGACACAGGGCCAGTCAATGGAGCCACAGTGTGCTGGAGGGACCAAAAGTGTGTCAGATGCAGAATATTCTTTGGCAACTGTAGCTGTTCATCATAGTAAAGATAGGCTTCACCCCCCATCGCACGGGTAATATTAAAGTACATGTCAACCCTAACAATCAGCTTCTTTTATTTGCTTCCTTTTGGTCTTTTACATTTTTCTATTGAAAGCGTTTTGTTACATCTGTTCAATAACGTCAAGAAAATATATGATGATCCTGCCAGAAATCCAGTGAGATGATAACGTCTTGTGCTCTCTGCCTGTTCTGACAGTTATCATTTAGACTTGTTCCTAGTTCTCTCTGTGGAATACAGAACACATTTCCACTTTGTTATAGAGATAAGGAGGGGCATCTAAATGACTTCCTATCCTAGGGTGACTATGCGGCTCCCTCATAAAATACACTACAATGGGTGTGCATTGTCACCCTAGGACAAGAAGTGTATTACTGTTAGGATTACCAGGTGAAAATAAAGGGAAAAAAGCCTGAAGCAAGAAAACGAATGTAGCCAGCGGATCTAAGGACTGGAAAGCTGCAATATATTCCATGTTTGTTCTTGTGTTTAGCTACGCTAATATGATCTTTATTAGCTGACGAATAAAACATTGACTTAGTCTTTTACTTCTTCTTTGTCATTCAGAGCTTCTGAGGGAAAAACTGTGGAAGTTCCTTACCGAGGTGATGTAGAAGAAACAATTAAAGATATACTTGGAGGAATTCGGTCTACCTGCACATACGTAGGGGCAGGCAAGCTGAAGGAGCTAAGCCGCAGAACAACCTTTATTAGAGTGACCCAGCAACTCAATGTCATGTTCAACAACCCTTGATGACCTTTTTATGCCAAACTTACAAAAATCCACATAATAGGGATACCATTGCTACTGTTACCTTCACATTTTATGGCTGGCACACCCTTCACACCATTCCATTCCTGGTCTTTTCTTAGATGTCACAAAATGTGCAACTGATTGTTATGTGTTATAATTCCTTTAACATTCCATTGCATGGACCACTCCATTTTTGGAGATGTTTGTGAGTTTATGAGGTCATGTGTACAGTTGAACACATTTAAAATAAACATTTTAACTATACAGTGTAATTCATTCAAGGAGCAAACAATATTAGATTGTATATAACCTACTTTCTCTATTTTCAAAACCACTTCTGCGCAAAAATCCCAACTTTGTATAGTATAGAGACTTAGAGACGTAGTACAGATTAGAGACTATAATACAAATCGGATTTGTTTTTGGATGGTCAGGGCAATTAAAACTGTGGCAGAAAAGAGAAGTGAAAAAGCATGTACTGGGAGAAAACTGTAGGGTGCAGTTACTCACCTTCTGAAAATACTAGGTACCGTACGTGCCTAGAACATATATACAGCCTGACGTCAATGACGTGGAACCAGGAGCCGGACTTCCATTTTGGGTGCCTGTAGGCACGAATGGAAATCTGATTAGCCTGAGCCGGCACCCCTACCTGCTGTGGGACCTGCCAGCTTTCATATATGCAGAGAAGGACCCTGGTGTCACGTAAGGCTGTCCTAACTGCTTGACAGCATCACACAAGCATTTTACAGGGCGGCCTTATGCAGCGCTGGGGTCCTTTCCATGCGTTTGCGGAAGCTAGCGGTTTCTCTAGGCGCCGCTGGTCTTGGAGCAGGAGGGTGCATTTTGTGCAGAATGCACCCACTTGGCTATTGCCAGTGTTGTATCTTGACAGAGTAGGTACCTGAATGGCGCCCCTCTATGGAGGGCGCCTGTAGGCACGTCCCTACTGTGCCTAATGGTAAATCCGGCCCTGCCTGGAACAAGCAAGTAGCAAATTAGATCAGATATATTGATATGCATACTTGTTTAGTTCAGTGGTTTAAAATACTGAAGCCGTTTATTCAGCAAGATGGCCAAGCAGGTAGCAGTTTTAGAAGGCAAGATCAGCAATGGCTGTACAGGGGGAGATCAGAGTTCAGATGTGATGAGTTTTAAAACGTCACATGATCATGTGACTAGGGTTTTAGACATGGACAGCACTGAAGGGGGCATTAAGCAGAATTTTCTGCAGAAAAGTTAGGTATTTTAGCTCGTTTCTTGCTTTCTATTTATTCGCGCCACCAATACGTTAGTTAGTATACCGTAACCATATGCTATTATTTCATTGTAAGCACACCTTAAAGTGAACCTGACAGGCCTTACTCAGTGAGTAAGGTCTGTTGGGCTGAAGCATCGGGAGCTACCTAACATTAGAAACCTTTTCAGATTTCCTGCCACTGCTGGTTTGACCACAGTAGAGGTTAAGGTTGCCTCACTTTTTGCCTAGTTGCTTTCCGTTAAGAAACGCACTATGCCTTCTCAAAGCTGCAGAGAGACTAGTCCAGCTGCTAGGATGACCATAGCCAGAGGCGGCTCTCTAATTAGGCAAATTAGGCGGTCGCCTTAGGCCTCGCACTCCCGAGGGCCTCGCGGCCGCCTAGTTTGCCCTGTCGGCACATCACCTCCCTGGCAGCCAAGTAGCGTTATTAAAGAGGTGGGGGGCGAAGGGGGGAGAGACACCGACAGAGGTGGGAGGCGTCACCGGAGCTCCAGTCGGGCGGCGAAGATGACAAGGAGGCCGTGTCGAGCGCCGAGGATGAGGAGGACATCCAGCCGGGCGCCAAGGAGGCCGTGTTCCAAAGAGGTCAGGCCATTCAAGGTAAGAGGACTGTGCTGGCAGAGCCCAGCAAAGATTCTGCATAGCCCACCAAAGAGTCTAAGGTGTGCTGTGCAATACGCTTTGGTGGGCTCTGCAGGATCCGGAGGGGCTTTGTCGGGTCTCAGGGGGGCTTTTCAGGATCCATAGGGGGCTCTGCAGCCTGCAAAGCCCACCACAGATCCTGCAGAGCCTTCCTGAGATCCTGCAGGATCTGTGGGGGCTTTGCCGGGTCTCAGGGGGCTCTGCAGGATCTGTGGTGGGCTTTGCAGGATCCATAGGGGACTCTGCAGCCTGCAAAGCCCACCACAAACCCTGCAGAGCCCACCTGAGACCACAGCCGGGTGGGGTAAATTTAGTGTGTGTGGGGGGAGGCGCCAAGTTTTGTCTTGCCTAGGGCAGCCCCAAACCAGAATACACCACTGACTATAGCTGCCCTGGTGGTATTCAGCATTGCTGTATAATGATTATACAGCAATGCTGAATACCACCAGCTATACAGGACTACAAATCCCAGCAACATTATACAAAGCTGATGGCATTCTGCATTGTTGTATAAAGTATTGCTAGAATTTGTAGTCCTGTATAGCTGGTGGCAGGTGCGGAACTACCGCTGGTGCAACCGGTGCACCGGGGCCTGAGCCTGGGGGGGCTCAGCAGACCAGGCAAGGTAGGACAAGAGATAGGGGGGAAACCGCCGACCATCCGTCTGGCCGCAAGTTTCGAGAGTATTGCTGGGAGTTGTAGTCCGCTATAGCCATTACTATTCTGCATTTTTCTGTCGAGAGTATTGCTGAGTTGTAGTCTCCTATAGTCGTTACCATGCTGCATTTCTGTCGAGGGTATTCCTGGGAGTTGTAGTCCCCTATAGTCGTTACCATTCTGCATTTCTTTAGAGAGTATTGCTGGGAGTTGTAGTTCTCTATATCCGTTACCATGCTGCATTTCTGTCGAGGGTATTCCTGGGAGTTGTAGTCCCCTATAGTCGTTACCATTCTGCATTTCTTTAGAGAGTATTGCTGGGAGTTGTAGTTCTCTTTATACCTTTCATTTTTATCGCTTGCATTTTTTCTCATTATGGGCCTGAGTGGGGCCTCATTTTTAAGTTTCGCCTAAGGCCTCGCAAAGTCTAGAGCCGCCACTGACCATAGCCCATACTCCCTTAGCAGTTCTGGAGGCATTTTTTCCAATATCCCTTGGCTATACCTCAAATGCGTGGCCCATATGCCATTTGTGTACACGTGCGTGCCCTACGCACTCATTTGCATCTTCATGCAGGTGGCAGGGGGTGACAGAGTTGCTTTTACATTTTTATTTATATTAATTGTATTGTTTTTTTTACTTTTTTAAAACTTTCCTTTCACTTAACTTTATTGCTATCGCAAAGGGGCTAACAGGCCCTTACGTGGTAGCATTGGTAGGGGACAGAGTCTCTTTATGGAGCCCTCCAATACAGATGATCAAGCACAGGATTATAAGGCCCAGATCACTTATACAGTAATAAACTGCTGGAAAAAAAAAGGTACCAAGAGCACAGCTGCAGCAACAGTCATGATATTGGTATATCCAAGATGGTGACATATATACGTATATACAGTATATAGTGGTTAGAAAATGTTAGCAATAGCAACCCTGATATTTTCACAGTACACATGTGCAGGTCAAAAACTATTTTCTATTATGTTTAGCCAGTTTTGTGATTAATACACCTTCTACACTACATAGCCAGCAAGGTGACAACATTGAATCCCATTACATCTGTGCAGCTTTCTGTGTCACCTGCTTCCTCAATAAAGTAGTGCTACTAATAGTATTTTAAAAAACAAGCCATGCAGGATTTTTGTTTTCAATTTATAACTAGACCAGAATGGTGATATTTATTTATTTTGTATTCTTATGCCATGGGTTGATGTTCATAAATAAATCATTTTGGTTTCAACACTTATGAAAGTAGTGAAACTTGTAAATCAGTATATCAACCAGGCAAGAAGGATTTTCATCCAGAGAGGTCAGTGAGGGAATCCCCCATATTCTTCCCAGCAAAGGTGTCAGTTGCTAAAGTAGAACTATACGCACTTCTCCTACAGTGATGCAGTGTGCGCAAGTTCCCTTGCTGGTGCTGACCTCAGGGCCGCCGCCAGGGGGGGTACGGCCGATACTCATGTAAGGGGACCGTTACATGAGTATCGGCTGACGGTGAAGGGCGAGGAGGTGGCCGTCACTTCCGGTTAGTCCAGGGGCCGGGTCGGGAGATGAGGCATTGTGTGCAGGTCAGTGGCGGATCCAAGGGGGGGGGGGGGGAACGGGGCAAATGCCCCCCCGAGATAGAGCTGCTCCCTGCCTCTCCCACCCGTGGTACTAGTGACAGAGTACATCCCCGCACAGCCGCCGTGGGGACATACTGTTGTCACAGACTTTATTGCGGTTCAGTGTAAAAAAAACGGCACAGTACAAGTACTGTGCCGTTTTTACCGCCCACACACTACTCTGCCTCACTGTGATAGACGGCTGAGCGGTGTGGGAGGAGAGACACCGACCGCTCACAGCGTTTTCTTCCCGCAGCGCTCGGCCGGCTGTCACTTTCTCTTCTCCCTGCTGGGACAAAGAGGGAAGGAAAGAAATCACGGCTGCGCCGACAAAACGGCAGGAAAATTGCACTTTCGGCATTTAGCCAAAAGTGACATTTTCGGCCGGCGCCCCCCTTCAGCTTTACGCCCGGGGCCAGCGCACCGGTTGCCCCCCCCGGTTGTTACGCCACTGACTGCAAGGAGTGTTTAGCCTGGCGGTGCCTGTACAGACTCTGCAGGCACCCCCAGGCAACCACAGCCTGCTGTTGGGGTCATTGTGAGGACCCTCTCCTGCGCTCCTCCCCTCCACTGGCCGCCAAGGACTCAGGAGAAAGAGGTTCTGCAGGAGTTAGGTGAGCCAGTGGGGTCTATGGGTGATGGATGGTCCGGGGGGATTGGGAGACTATTACTTTCAGTATTGCTGACTTTATGTAAAATGTATAACTGGTGGTATTCTGCATAACTGTATAGAGACTGATGTGACTGTGGGGGGGACATTAGAGTGTAAGCTCCTCTATACAGAGACTGATGTGACTGTGGGGGGGGACATTAGAGTGTAAGCTCCTCTATACAGA